TAATGTATGCGTGATGTCACGGGGGTGATAGGCAAGTTGCTAATGCGGTGGAATTGCTAAGGTTACACGAGGAGCAGATGGGTGGTGATGCCCGCGTGTATCTTATGGCTGTAGTTCCGGGGTCCTGTTCCAGAACCCGTATCCGTATACCAGGTAAGTAGGGAGTTTGACACTCGTAAGACCCTGTCAATGCCCCACTTTTGGGAACTGCCAAGGCCTGGCAAGATCCGGCACTGTCTTAAGTCCGCCCGCCAGGAGCTCCACTGTCAGGGTCTGACGAGTGTCGTAGAACATGGCGATGCCGGTTTCTCGGTCAATCTCGAACGAGAATTGAAATCTTCGAAATACTAGCGCCCCCAACAAAGATATCGCCGCAGCATCCTAGTGTCGCCAAGGTGGCATCGTCCGCTGATGGCGGCCGAACCTAACCGACATCGAGCGCCGATGCACCGCCTTCCAAGGTGGAAACGAGGTGACTCTTGCATAGATCCGCTACAACTTGCTCAGCTCGCTTGTTGAGCGGTATCAGAGAGAACAAGGCAAGAGGGTAAGGCATGGAGAATGAACGACCACGAGGCACAGCGCAAACACGTCAGGTCATCAAGACGCAAGAAATCTCAGGTATTTCCGTCGGGATCACTCGAGCCCCAGAGCAAGCGGGGAGGGTGACAAGTTAGGCTGCCTCTTCCGAGCTTCCAATCGAGGCCCAGCCACTACCGCATATGTGCTGAGCCAACGGGTATGCAGATGGCTGGCGCCAGGTTCCGAGGGGTGCAAAATATCCTGTTTCTGGATGAAATCAATCCAGGACCAGGGATGAGACGCGCGCGCGGTGAGTGGCGCCGAGGGGTGTTGGCTGGTCCTAGGAGTCCGTGTACAATGGCCCCATGGTTTGTTCGGTAGCGCCTGACTTAAAGCCAAGTGTCAACCCAAAAAGTCGAATTTTAACATCAAAACAGCCACTTTTTTCTTACAAGTGGGATTGGAATAAAACGTCCGTTTAGAGTTTCACTAGATGCTCTATATTCTTACGTTTACCTAGCTTTTCTCAGTGTCGAGAGGGATCTTTTTGAATGTGGGACTAGGACCCCTGTCGGGAGTTCTGCGCCAGCATTGGCGCTACGTTACATTTCTACCGGCTTGGCAGCGTGACTACTAGATAGCCAGCGGTTGGATAAGGTTGAACACCCACACGGGACACTCCACCGTTCCTCACAACCACACTCCCTTTACACCTTTCACCAGTTAGCCAAACCCCGCACCATAGCAGACTCTATCCAAGGCGATAGTTTGCAAAAGGCAGATCTTGCCCTAGAGGTACTACTCAACAACCCAAAGCGGCTTCAGCGTAAGCGAGAGCAATTCAGCGACTCTCCGCCGTCGTACCGATCTCAGTTTTCGGGCCCCATGACGCGATCCAAAGCCCCAACGGTCCCAACGAGGCGCAACAACGGCGATATGAGCGGAAATTTCGGCTAAGAATGGAGCACAGCGCCTCGCTTCCTTACTACCAGTTCATAGCTCAGTATTACAAAGAGCTAGAACGGCTATTCGAAGCGGATCGAAACCGGATTTACAAATACCCACCTAGCTTGGACAGCATTTACAAACACGCACATTTCAACATCAAGATGCGCTGGATTGAACAGGGCATTTAGAAAGATGAGTGGAATAAACAGTCTAGGCCTAGTAGGCAATGGAAGCACGAGGAACCGCTAAAGCCCGAATCCAATATGGATTGGGAAAGCATGCTTCCTACAGGACTCTTTGGAGCCGAGGTACAGCGGAAACAACCAGCCAAGAGTGGTGCGGAGGTTCTAGGAGAGCGACGGGATCGCGAGGCGTCACGCCCCTATTATTATTCCTACCCCGCTATGCCTATCTAACAGGCTCCTCGGACCCGCTCCAGCTATGTACAAAGGAAAAACCGTACCGTATAGGCCGGGTAAAAACCTCTGTCGGACAAGTCTAGGAAATCCAATCTGACGAAT